TGATTCAAAAGCCCTCGCGAGCGAACGAACCACGAAAGTTTGTTTGCGCCAGCTCACAGTCAGCTGCTCAGATCTGCGCGCTCTGGTCTCAGAGTGTGCAGCTGAAGGGCTGATGCGAAGCCGAATCAGGTTGCGTCTTGTCAAGTCTGCAAGTAAGCGCGATCACTTCTGCGTGACGTAGCGCGCCGCAAAGCCGCACGGCGTCGCAACGTTTTATTCAAAGCGTTGCGACTGCGATGCGCCCGCGACGTGTTACACCTGGTAGATTTTTCGGCGATTCGCGCTATGCCCTGCCATGCCGTCGCGTTGCCTCAAGGCCTTGCAGGGTGGTTGCAGCAAATTTTTTGGGGCGTCGTGTGGCCTGAGGAGGCGTTCAATCGTTGATGCTGAGGCGATGGTGCTGATGATGATGATCGTGATTGTCGTGATTGTTGTATCGAAGCCCTGTGTCTTTTCAGTTCCCGCGTCGACGGGCTTTGACAGGTTCGGGGCTCGCGAATCGACGGCCGGCACCCGAATAGACAATTTCGGGGCGCACGCACCGACACGCCAGATTCGGGCGGTGACGGGCCTTTGCTCGCGGGGCCCCGAATTGCTGGCGGCGAGCCTTTCCCGAATTGCTCGTGGCGGGCCTTTGTCCGCGAATCGCGTGGGGAGCCGGCCGTCGCTTCGGGAGCCCCGAACCCGTGGCGTGAGAAACGGACACCGAAAAAAACTATGTGCGAATGCACTGCAGAGCGTTGCTTGATACTTTTGCTTCACCAACCAAACACAGAAGCATCAGGAGAAAAAAATAGCAAAAATGATGGAGCAACCTGGTTGATCCTGCCAGTAGTGTATGCTTGTCTCTCCCCGGTCTGGCGATTCGGGTTCCGGGGGCCGGCCGGTCGCCCCAGGAGCCCCAAACCCGTGGCGTGAGAAACGGACACCGAAAAAACTATGCGCGAATGCATTGCTGGGCTTTGTTTGATACTTTTGCTTCACCAACCAAATACAGAAGCATCAGGAGAAAAAAGCAAAAATGATGGAGCAACCTGGTTGGCTCCCGAATCGACAGGCGCGGGGCCAGGTTCCCGAAGTGCTCGTGGCGGGCCTTTGATTGCGAATCGACGGGCCCC